GTGGTAGTAGTAGTAGTAGAAGTAGTAGAAGCAGTAGTAGTAGTAGTAGTAGTAGTAGTAGTAGTAGTAGTAGTAGTAGTAGTAGTAGTAGTAGTAGTAGTAGTAGTAGTAGTAGTAGTAGTAGTAGTAGTAGTAGTATTGTAGTGGTAGTAGCAGTAACATCATCGTCATCATCATCATTTTCATCCTTATCGTTATTGTAAGTTATATTATTGTTGTTTTTAATAGCACTAACAAACAACAACCTCAACAACAAAAACCTCAACAACTACAACATCATCACTAACATTAGCCACAACAACATCATCAACAAAACAACAAATATTTAGTTTCTAAAACTCAATCCTATCGGATTTATGCAAGCTGATCTTGACGAACCGATTTCCTTTTGGACTAAATATTCGCTATATTTGTATCGTTTTTATTATACATATCACATGATGTTTACGTTTTTATATCACGTGATGTTTACGTTTTTACATCACGTGATGTTTACGTTTTTACATCACGTGATGTTTACGTTTTTATATCACGTGATGTTTACGTCTTCATATCACGTGATGTTTACGTTTTTGAGAATACCATAGGATGTTTACGTTTCTATGTTTATGTTGCAAAATGTTTACGTTTTGCCGTTGTATATATCATTCGATGTTTATATTTTGTTTTTGCTTTGTATTACGTAATTGATTTTGTTTAAAATGTGTTTATGTATGTATTTCTTTTCGATGGATATCACGTGATGTTTATGTTTGATTGCTTTTGTTGTTTGTAAAATTTATTTCAGTGCGATGTTGATGAACGTCGCGTGCAGGACTTTTGAAGCGTCCTGTTGATGTTGTTGTTGTTGATGTTGATGTTGTTGTTATTGTTGATGTTGATGTTGTTGTTGTTACTGTTGTCGTTGTTGTTTTTGCAATGTTAGTTATGATTTTATTGTTCACGAAACTATCATTCCAAAAATGAGAATTAAGATCACAGTTCTACGATAAGACTGACGACCTGCAACAAAACAAACCGGCCAAAAATTGAACGCCAAATTTGCCTTGGTGCCAATTTTTTCACAACCAGCGCCACCACACCACCACCAGAAGCAGCAACAACAACAAAAACAACAAACCAAACACCTGATTGGCATCGAGACCCCAAAATTCCAACTCCTCTTCAAAGAGTGGCCCACAAACGTCAGTAGGATAATGCAACTTGCCCGTCCTGTAGTAGTTCAAAATCTGCGCAAACACTCCCGGGTGCCTGTCGAAGAAGTACTCATTTAGAATGGGGTCGTAGTTTGCGAGGGCCTCAGTTAGGCGGCTTAAACGGGTCGCAGGGATTTTTTTAAGGGTGGCTTTGTAAGCCTCGTGTCTGATCCCTCCAACATTAAGTACCACTCTATTGTCTGAATCGCTTATCATGTTCTTGTGGTCGCTGGAGATGATGATGACGACGACGATGTTGTTCTGCCTGGCTGAAGTGATGATGATGCTGCTGCTGCTGGTGATGATAGTGATGGAGTCAAGGTAGTGATGATGATGATGATGAT